CAGGCGGGTCTCGAACCCGCGGGCTCAGGCAATCCACTCACCTCAGCCTCCCAAAGTGCTGGGATTATAGGCTGAGCCACCGAGCCCGGCCCTGGCCAATTTTTCTGCATGTGAATTTGCTGTGTGCTCCCTTCATCTACAGTAGCCTGGGCAACCTCGGGACGCCCCTGGGGCCTTTCCCACTTACCCTGCCCCCAGGGTCCCCTGCCAACCACCTTCGACCCTCTCTCTTAGTTCAGGGCTCCCAACGCTGTGAACTGAACTGCCGTCCCCGTGGCTTCCGTTTCTATGTTCGCCACACCGAAAAGGTCCAGGATGGGACCCTGTGTCAGCCCGGAGCCCCTGACATCTGTGTGGCCGGACGCTGTCTGGTGAGGGAAGATGGGGTGTACACACAGGTGAACACACATGCGCGCACACACACAACACACACGAGTCTCTTTCATTTGTCATTGCAACAAAACAGCGACAGACAAATCACCAAGGAAAAATACTCACCTGCCAGCCGGGGCTGAGCAGAACCATGAGGTGGTCTGAAGGAAGGATCCTGTCGGACATGTCACGTCCCTGGGTCTGGCTGGGGATGGCGGGGCTCTCACTTGTAGCGCAGGGAGCACGATGGGTAGGGGGCAGAGGGTCCCGTGTGGCCGGGGAGGGGCAGGTGCTATCTGGCTTCCTTGTGGCCCTGCCTCACCTCCCTCTCTCCAGAGCCCCGGCTGTGATGGGATCCTTGGCTCTGGCAGGCGTCCGGATGGCTGTGGCGTCTGTGGGGGTGATGATTCCACCTGTCGCCTTGTTTCGGGGAACCTCACGGACCGAGGGGGCCCTCTGGGCTACCAGAAGATCCTGTGGATTCCTGCGGGGGCCTCGCGGCTCCAGATTGCCCAGCTGCGGCCCAGCTCCAACTACTTGGGTGAGTGCCCGACGGCCGCCGTTCACTCCTGGTCTCCCTCCCCTGTGGGCATCTCCGGGTATCTGGGGCTCCAGTGGGAGCCTCCCTAGGCTGAGGATGGTCGGAGGGGAGGAAGGTTGGACCACCCTGGCCTTCCTGCTCGCCATCTCCCCATGCAGCGCTTCGAGGCCCTGGGGGCCGGTCCATCATCAACGGGAACTGGGCTGTGGACCCCCCTGGGTCCTACACGGCCGGCGGGACCATCTTCCGATATGACCGTCCTCCCCGGGAGGAGGGCAAGGGGGAGAGCCTGTCAGCCGAAGGGCCCACGACGCAGCCTGTGGATGTCTACGTGAGCTTGGGGCCTGGGGCAGCTAGACGGCAGGGGAGGGGGGGCCGTTCCCCTAAGGGCAGAGTCGTGGGGTCAAGTGGAGGAAGCCGGGCTCGGTGGCTCAGCCTGTAATCCCGTGCCTTTGGGAGGCTGAGGGGAGTGGATTGCCTGAGCCCGCGGGTTCGAGACCTGCCTGGGCAGAGAGACCTCATCTCTACAATAAATCAAAAAATCAGCCGGGCGTGGTAGCGCGTGCCTGTAATTCCAGTTACTCGGAAGGCTGAGGCGGAAGGATCGCCGGAGCCCAGCAGGTCGAGGCTGCAGTGGCCGGGAGCGGGCAACAGAATGAGACTCCAACTCAAAAAAAAAAAAAAAAAAAGATAGGGGCAAGAGCTGGTAACATGCCCTTAAGCCACCCCTGGACATTCATGCCCTTTTCTTCTCCCCAGATGATCTTTCAGGAGGAAAACCCAGGCGTCTTTTATCAGTATGTCATCTCTTCACCTCCTCCAGCCCTTGAGAGCCCCAGCCCAGAGCCGCCGCGCCCCCAGCTTCAGCCTGGTGAGACTGATCCCTAGGCCTGGAGAGAGGAGGGGGAGGCTACAAGGGAGGCTCTGAGGCAGTGGGAGGGCATCTAACTTGCCTGCCGGGCTTCCCTGCACAGAGATTCTGAGGGTGGAGCCTCCGCCTGCGTCCCTGCCCCGCCCAGCCCGGACACCCGGCACCCTCCAGCGGCAGGTTCGGATCCCCCAGATGCCTGCCCCACCCCATCCCAGGACACCCCTGGGGGCTCCGGCTGGATACTGGAAACGCGTGGGACACTCCGAGTGCTCGGCGTCCTGTGGGAAAGGTGAGCCCTGCCTCACGCCTGTGCTCCTGGCACCTTCAGCCCAGATCCCCAGCTCGACACTCCTGATCCCGCCTTGGCGATCCTGGGGCCACACCTGTGCCGGGGACCCCACGGAACCCAGGCTCAGCCATCCGCCTCTCCCGGCCGCCCTCTCATCCCCTCCAGGTGTCTGGCGCCCCGTTTTCCTCTGCGTTTCTCGTGAGTCGGGAGAGGAACTAGATGAACGTGGCTGTGCTGGGGGCGCCAGGCCTCCCGCCTCCCCTGAGCCCTGCCACGGTCCCCCGTGCCCCCCATAGTGAGTATGGCCCTCAGGGAGGCTTAGGGGACTGAAAACACGGCCACTGCCCCTGGACCTCGCTGCCCACAGGGCCTTCCCTGGACCTTGCACTCCACACATCTCCTGGCTGCGGAGAGACCCTATCAGATCAGGAAGGCGGACACCTGCAGACAGCAGGAAAACCCTGGCAGCCCGAGCCCCACAGGGAACCCAGTCCCCACATGCCACATGCCCACCCGAGGGGCCTCACGCCCCGTGCGTCTTCTCCACCTGTCTCACCTGGCCCACGCCTCACTCTGCCCTGCCCACAGCTGGGAGGCTGGTGAGTGGACGTCCTGCAGCCGCTCCTGCGGCCCCGGCACCCAGCACCGTCAGCTGCACTGTCGCCAAGAATTCGGGGGCGGTGGCTCCTCTGTGCCCCCAGAGCGCTGCGGACATCTCCCCCGGCCCAACGTCACTCAAACTTGCCAGCTGCGCCTTTGTGGCCACTGGGAGGTCGGCTCCCCCTGGAGCCAGGTGAGTGTGCCGGGCCAGGGGGCTCTGGGGATGGGGCGGGTCCCAGAGGAGGGGGCTTCCAGCTTCTTCTACAAACAGGGTCTCGTGTAGACCCTGATATGTGAGTCAGATAAGAGACTGAGCCGTGGGACCTGGTCAGAAGCCACAGAACTGGGGGGGCTGGCTGAGAGAGCCCAGAAGGCTGGCTCCTGGACTCCCCGTCACCCCTCAGTGCTCCGTGAGGTGCGGGCGTGGCCAGAGGAGCCGGCAAGTTCGCTGTGTCGGGAACAACGGCGACGAAGTGGGCCAGCAGGAGTGCACCTCAGGCCCCCCGCGGCCCCCCAGCAGAGAGGCCTGTGACATGGGGCCCTGTACCACCGCCTGGTTCCACAGCGACTGGAGCTCCAAGGTGGGCCCCGCACCCCCGAGCCAAGTCCCTTGTCCCTGGTGACCACCCCAGGACACCCTGTCAATCTTCCCAACACAGCTCAATACAGTTCACCTTTTTTTTTTTGGAGTCGGAGTCTCACTCTGTTGCCCAGGCTGGAGTGCAGTGACACACACATGGCTACCGCAGCCTCAACCTTCTGGGCTCAGGAGATCCTTCCACCTCAGCCTCCTGAGTAGCTGGGTCTACAGGTGTGTACCACCATACCCAGCTAATTTTTAAAAATTTATTGTAGAGATGAGGTCTCACTACATTGCCCAGGCTGGTCTTGGACTCCTGGACTCAGGCAGTTCTCTCGCCTCAGCCTCCCAAAGTCCTGGGATTACAGGCGTGAGCCACTGCGCTCAGCCTCAATATACTTCTATTGCACAAGCACCTACTATGTGCTTGACACTGGGAACTCAAAAGAGAAAAAACTGGACAGGCGTGGTGACTTATGACTATAATCTCAGCACTTTGGGAGGATGAGTTAAGAGGATTGCCTGAGCCTCCCAAAGTCCTGGGATTACAGGCGTGAGCCACTGCGCTCAGCCTCAATATACTTC